GAACCTGTACAAATTGTTGCTTGAGTTTTCTGTTCAAAAAATTCACCCCAAGTGGTCTTTTGCTCCTGGAGCCCGTCTGTGTGGAGGTTTGATGCTTTCCTTCATCAGAGACAGTAATTTGTTACAACCAGATTACCACTTGGTGTAACAAGTAGTAATTTGAGCCACTCTTAATGTCATCACAGTGGTCCGCCTATTCTCCTCTGACCTTTGAGGTAACCACAATATTTTCACCCAGTTACTTTCTGCGCACTGGATATTTTCATAAATCCTCTTTCTTCTCTGCTTTGATGTTCAGACTGGATTTCCATAAGTTTAGTGTCTGTGATTATTTATTTTTATTGCCAGTCTGTTAAAATCATTCAGTATTTGCTGCCACAAACTAAAAAAAAATAAATAAATAATAAAAAAAAAACATATTAATAAAGCAAATGCCAGATATTTATAATGTGAGACACTTGACATATTCAGCAGAATGTAATTTGAGTATTTTTTGGGCAGTCATTTAATTGTCAGTCCCGGTGCTACTCTGCTAACTAGGAGTCACAGATCCATTACCCAGATTGTGTTTGTATGGCATCATGCACTCTACTCAACACAGGCGGGACACGTTTGACTGTGTCTTGGTGCTCGATGTAGCTGGACCTTACGGTTGATTTTATTTGGATATTGACTTATACGATCCTTATTAATGTGAGAGAGAATAACTATTTTGAAGAAGTATACTGCTACAAAAATACATGCAAAGACAGCAGAGTAAAACCCCACACTGCAGCCTGCTGTCTTGAACCATTTGCAAAGTTGGAATAGAAATTATGTAAATGTACTTGGGGAATGGCTAATGTAGAAACACCTACTGAATGTCAAAAACTCTGCCCTGGTAAATATTAAGCTCAAGTCCCTCTGCAACATTTCCACGATCCATGAAGAAAATGTAACTTGTGTGGAGACGACTGCTATCATAGTTCCATCTGCTGGAGTGATTGTTTTGACCCTTTACTCAGACAAATGGAGACATCGAAACCATAACAGGACTCATAATTATGGTAAGTAAACGACAATAACATTTCAATGTGACTATTTAATGCAAAGTGACCCTGCTGATAACAGTCCATATGCATTGCATTAACCTTAACAAATGACTCCTAGAACAATTAGAATTGGACTTGTCTCCTTTATTCACAATATCAACGGTAACGTAAATTATTTAATGTTATCCCATTTTTCCAAGCTAGTTCAAAGTGGCTTGCGAGTCACATTTAGCGTTGATTGATACAAGAACTTATAAGAAATGTACTTTAATTTTTGATTTCCTTCTACCTTTTCAGTCCATTTTATTTGTTTGAAATGACTTAGTTTGGATAATCTCTCTGAAATCCAAACGTTAACTTTCCTAATTGAGTTTGATTTGTCTTAGATGTCAAAGCTCAAACTTTTGAAATCATAGTGGATCTGGAGTTGTGTTAACTTCTGTAAGTAAAACAAGCTTCTAATTGTTTGTGTTTAATCATTGACAACATGTTTAAAATATCAAGTTGTCCACCACTATGTTTTCTAATGGTTTAACAAGATATAAAAGTGCATTGTGTTTTATTTATGTGGGATCTCAAAGATTTGACTTCAGGGGATCTTATTATCATTTTGACTCCAAGCATGAATAAAGCACAGCATTAGTTCTTCATTCCTTATTTTCAGCTGATACTAAAAAAAACAAAACAATCTTGTAGCTTTATTTCTTCATTCACATTCACTAATGCTTAATTGACTGTTGCAAAAAAAAAAAGAACCTACCTCTCTCTAAAAGCATTCAAGTATGGTTTAATTTTCTAAGATGCATGTCATAAGCCACAAAACCTTACACTGGAGATATTCCTATTGACTACTTTTTTAGATTGCACATAGTAGCACTGTGACAATTTTTTTAAAATATAATTTCAAAAATGATACGGCCTTTTCAGCAGAGGCTTTATGCCACATCTCATATCACTGCTGCCTATAAGATGTTCTTAAATACAGAGACAGAATGAGGATCCATCTCTTTGCCACATTGTACCACTATTTGCAGGCTCAGTAGACGGCATTATTCCCAGACACTGGAGTGTCCACCTTTATATAACTTCATGCTGTGACATCTCTGATTGCATTAAAGAAGTCTTGCAGTCTGACAGACAGATTGGTGCCCTCTGAAACAAGCAAACTAGCAAATCCGCCTCTCAAATCAACCCACGTTTTTTTTTTTTTTTTTTTTTTTTTCCCCCCTTCGCCTGTCGTTCACAGTGCTCCAATTTGCCACATGCCGGGTTTTTATACATGAAACATTGGTTAGAAATATGTCATTAGTTTTCACTGTCTGAAAATGAACGTCTTTATTAGATTGGATATTAATGCTAATATCTATTTTTGTATTTCACTAACTGAAGCAGCACACATTTATGTGGTAAATGAAGATGCTCTCTGGTTTGAATAGGACAAACAAAACAAAGGCTTTATAGGCTTTAGGATTTAGGGGCTTTAAATATTTGAATGTTAGAATGAAATATGTCTGCTAACGAAAAAAAAAAAACCCTAAAGATTAGGAATAATCACACAGAAGAGAGAATTTTAATCTTAATTCTTTGAATGTTCTCACACGGTTTGGCTAATAGATGAGCAGCATTTCAATGAAAGGCTAAAATATCTGATTTTCTATGGTAATTAATTTGGTTCTGCCTCTCACTTTTGGTAACATTATAAAGCTGCTGTATCTAACTTTCCCCTGGCATCTGAGTTTTTTTTTATTTTTCTTTGTTTTTCTCTTTTTACAATTCTTTGCCTTTTCCCTGGATGAGTTCTGAACAATTTTGAAGATTAGTATCGAGCAGATAAAAATGTTGTCTGTTGTCTGACAACAGTGGTTACTGGTGGTCATGACAGTGATGTGCACAATTTGGTTTTTAGCCATTTAGTTATAGGGAAGCCTATTCTCTTTGGGGTTTCGTGCGTGGAAAATGTGGCAATCTCCATATTTGCTTCGAAACAAAGTTTAACTGCTGCAGCGGATTGAGCCGCCCTAAGCTGGCTACCGTTGATTGCTTCATTCGAGTGTGCACCTTGAGTGTGATGCACAGCCTTACTTTGTTTCTGGTCCGTATCGAATGCTCCCAAGACTAGACATTTAACTTTGGTAATTTTGTCAATCCTCAAGACTCTGCTTATAATTTGTTTCATTATGAAACGAAATAACAGTTTTTTTTTCTGACAATTTTAGATAAAGAGTGGTGCTCTTATCCACAAGAGATAAACCTTGTGACACAGCATATGCTGGGTGATTTCACACGTCTATGTTGAACACCAGCCAAGTGTTTTGTGTGCCTGGTGTTCTTTGCTATCTTGTGATTCACTACATCAACACTTGGAGAGAGAGAGAGGGGAAAAAAACACCTTCATGTCCTGCTTCTTTATCTTCTCTGCATGTGTATTTATGTGTGGGTGTCAAGCGTTGTCTGTGCTCGGAGGCATACGTTTTATTTTCCTCTTATTTATTTTTTTACTTGTTCATTTGCTAGTGTGTAATTATGTGTGTATACAAAACTTGTCTTAAGAATTTTCAAGTTTCTGCCTTGACCCCATGGAAAGCGAGGAGGGAGGAAAAACTGGAGGGGAAAAAAAAAAAAAAACGTCATGAAGCGAAACATGGAACGGCTTGGTTGGGGATTACGCTGGCCCGAATGCATGAGGAAACACCGAGGGGAGCGTCTGCTGCCAGACAGATGAGAGGCTGACAAAGTGCTCGGGCTTTGTGTGACTTTTGGTCTAGGCTTTCGCTCACGTTCAAAGCAGTGTGAATGTCTCTGGCCCACAATTAAATTTGGTCTGTTTAATACCTGGAGTCACCTTTTCCTTTCTTGGCATGAAGGAGCTCGATTTGACGAAGCAGATTTAGACCAAGTAGAGGTCTTGACAGATGTGTCATTACAGACCATTTCTGGTGAAACCTATTTCTTGAAAGGTCCATGTTGTTGTGGCTTTGTTTTGTTTTTAATTTTTAGAAACTAAATTCTGAAACAATATCAATTTCAAACAGAGAAAATGCAATAAATACAAATAGGAAAGAGGCAGAGAGAAGCAATAATCACTTCATGCTGCTTTTCCTTGTGGCTGGAAATCGCTCCAACTGCCTTAATGTCTTCTTTATGTCCTATGCAGTCTTAAACCCTCTATATGCAGATATCTATTCAGTATTCAGTTGAATTAAGCAGGCATTGGTAAGCTGTGTTATTGTCAGTGTATTATAAAAAGCTAAAGTCATGCATATTTTGCTCTACAGAGCAGCAAATCCTGTACATTCAGCGCCCGTTTGTTCATCCATCCATCCATCCATCCATTGGTTTACATTTCTCATCATCTCCTATAATAAATGCCATCTTTCTGTTATCCCTGGATCTAATGCCCTTAGCTTAGTTCCTCTGTATCAGCTTGCAGGCAACAGTTTTTGGAGCAATTTCATGGGTTATGATGGAGATTGAAGATTTCGTTAATGACGGTAGACAGGCCAAATCTCAGCTGTGGAACTGGACCAGAGCCTCAAATCTCAGGATGGAGCAAACAAGTGTGAATGCCACAGGGGCTAATCCTACAGCGGTTCACAGTGATGAACGCTTATTAGTCAAATGCAAATGACCAGGACTGGGAGCCTAAACGAGGGGGTGGGGGATGGTAGGGCCTGACCCAGTGCCAGGTTATGATTTAGAGTAACTCAGTGTTGCTTTAGTAAATGTGTTGCTTTGCTGATGCAGCGCCCTACAGATGGCAGCTAGGTCTGGTTTTGCATATGTTATGCTCATGGGAATTGCATGCTAAATGTGCATATGGCATTGCAGTATATGGTTAATAGTGCAGCCAGATCAGCAGTGTTGCATACAAACTGCTGTCCTGAATACTGTGACACGGTCGTAATAAAGCTAACACGTATTTTTTTTTTTTTTTCCATTTTCCTCTCCTTTCCTTTTTTCTCTGTACAGCAGCAGATGGTGAGGAACCAACTTCTCCAGGTAGGGAAGTTTTAATTCTTTGTAACATAACCTCTGTCGCTTACTCACTTTCTGTTTATTTATTTGGGCTCCTTTGTGTGTTTGCTTTTATGCTATGTTTAAGGTTGACAGAAGAAAAAAAAAAAAAAAAGGAAACTAAAAACTCAGAATCTACCGTCTGGGAGATGAGGAATAAAAACGAGAGATGACAATATGTTGTGTTTTTCAGATGTTCCTGCACCTCTTGTTCACTTGAGCTTTTTTAAAAACATCCATGATCCATGTGGAGATTGTAGACGTAGAGTTTGAGAAATTAATTTGTGATGACCTTCTTTGCACATACCCAGCGTTGCTTGCTCTGCTGGACACTGCAACAGTCGATGAGTAATTTTCACAAGTCGTTTGTTTTGCTTTGATAACTATATGAGATATGAGCCTCAGACAAAATTGAAAATACTTTGACTGATCAAACCAGAGCTTGATTATTGAAAGAATGGATTACCCAGGACACCATCCATGATGTGAGAACTGCATGTTTGCCATTTTAAAGACTTCTTTATGTAATAGATGCCAAACTTTTGCCACCATTTTGCACATCATGAGTATTTCAGTATTATATTTGATACTTTGCTCATTGTTGGTGGAGAATATTTGTTTAAGGGAAAAAAAAAAAATAACTTGATCATTTAAGCTTATTATAGGGTTCAGGATCGTGGGGACTTACTGTATTTAAATGTTAGGGTATTGAGTCAAGGGACTAAATGTTTTCAGTTCTTGTAACATGTTTATGAAATTCCCACTAAGTTCTCTCTTAGTGATATTTTGTCTGCTGTAGTCAGTTTGCAAATGATGTCGAATTGGGAAAATAAATGATCGCATCATTTTTGCAATTCAGTTCTTAAGGCTGTCCTGTTTAGGATTTATCCAAGGCAGTAGATTTGGTTAATTTTTTATCTTTATCGCACAAAGTCTGAGTTCCAGAAGTTCACTTTTCAACTTTGTGCTCCGATTATGTTTTTGCTTGAGTGCTCCGATTTTTTGTTAAATTATTATCAGAGCAGCGATGGGATATAGACATGTTTGAATCTTCACTTTGCATATAAAAGCATTTTGGCCATTAATGCATGTCATTAACTTCAGCGTGTGCTTTGTGTTTTAAGTCAGCTCTGTGCCAGTAGTGTTTGAACACTACTGGCAGTCTCTGTATAAATAATTTTAGTAACATACATATGTGAAAATGTTTCTATGAAAGCAGAACCACAGCAAATTAAAAAGCAAAACAAAACAAAAATGTTTTTAACTTCAGCAATGATGCAGTTAAAATGTAAGTGCAAGAAAAAAGCAAACATACTAACTGCGTCTTCAGCATCTATTTGTGAGTTTCATTAATCTTAATCCCTGCTGCATACTTGAGATTAGGTTGGTTAAATCAAGAGGGATTGGACATAATAGCCATGGAATCAAAATGGCTTGTTTTTCTGATGCAAAGACATGTGTAATCTGTGATCCTAATCACTTAAAGGATGTGAGAGGACACAAATTAAACAACTGAAGCATTGTGGGAAATTATCAGTTAAAACACTTGATATTAGTTATTTTGTCATGTCTGATTATTTAACGCCATCATACATACATATTTAAAAGAAACCTCTGTTGTGAGTTTAGTCACAACCCAAGAATTATATTAAATATAACTTGTCAGTGCTAAATTAGTCTTTTGAGGAACCTTTCTCTTTCAACACCAAATATATTTATTACATTGAATTATTATTGCAGTTATTTTTTGCTATTGAGCAGACAAAAGCTCCACGTGTATCTTAAAAACAATAAAAGATAAAAATATATATATTTATCCTAACTGTGCTCTGAATATCTGTTAAACTCTGCAAACAGTAGCAGGAATGTAAACACTTCAGGAGTTTGTTGGGAGCAGTGGTGGTTTTAATTTTGTGCCCACTGACCTGGAACTCAACTGTTGGGGAAAATAGGGCAGATTGACATGAAAGGCCAAATTACTGTTGACGGATTTGAGGAATTAAGCAAATCAGGACTGATATATTTGTAATCTGCATAATCAGATGCTTTGATTGCACATATCAATCTTATTTCAGGGGGGAGAAGATGAGGGGTGTTCTCTGTATTTTCTGTTAGCCAAAACCCCAACTCAAAATTAGACTCTTTTGTTATTAAGGAGACCCTTGGGGGCTAGCTGGGTATGGCTTTGACATTTCCGTGGCATTTTCCAACTCTTGCTTGCCTCTCGATCCTCCTCGACTGCCGGATGATCCCCAGCATGACCCCTCCTTTTGGCCATTTTTTTTTTTTTTTTTTTGACATATTCCAAACAATTTAGTTTCTGCGAAATTCTTACCACCGTCACCTCTGAGTGTTTTTTGTTTGACGCTGTGAAATGCTGATGGGTTAAAATGGTGCATTGGGAAAGGAGCCTGTGAATGGGAGGCCAGGAACTCTCTAAAAGCATAAGCGTGGGGTGGCACACGCTGAGAGCCTTGATGTAATATTGGTGGTACGGTGCCAACTTTCATCAGAGGAGGTGCAGGATGGGTGCATTCACCAGGAAACCTGTGAACCAATGAAGCCATCACAGAAAAAAGAAGCTGGGTTAAAATAGATTTGACACAATTAGGCCATGTTAGATTTCTACGTGATGTTGATGAATGCACCGTCAGATCAGAGGATCTTACATGCAAATTTCACACTCATGAGACAGGTGAAATCTGTGTGTGTGTGTGTGTGAGAGAGAGTCGGTGACTGCATGTGTGTGTGTGTCCTTTAAATAAAGATTTTATGAAAGGCTTACAAGGTTTTTTGATAGGCTGGCTTACCACTATTAACTCAGCACTTTGTAAGATGGGGAAAAAAATCTAGTTAAATCCGGAGCAGAGTTTCATATTCAGTTATGCTTTCGGTGAGACTCTTCAGTTCTGGCTGCTGAATCTTGTTGAAATAACACACTTTCAATCTAGAGGAGTAAAGTATTATTCAGGGCAGCTCTGTTCTGAATAACATTTACTCCTCTTGGTTGGGATTAAGACTTATTTTCCAACATGACCTTGTGTCCTTTTTGGGGAAAAAAAAAACAAAACAAAACTATCCAACAGCACAGGTGGGTCTTAATAAATTAGAATATTACTAAACAATTATTAATTATTATAACTTGTACAACCATAGGGAAGATGGTTAAGTAGCCTGCATGGTCTCTCTCTACAAGATATTTACAGTGTATTTTCTCTTAGTCTGTACATGTAAAGTTGAGTGAAAGGAAAAAATGTGGAAGAAACACACATTATTATCTGTCCATCCAGCCCCCGCAATACAGATGGGCAGTAAATAATGCAAAAGTACTTATGTGTTTATCTTATACAGAACATGAGCACTGATTATATTAGACCTACATTTATGTAAAAAAAACAATGTTATGTGATTTTTCTTAACATTAATATTATCTGACAAATATAATTTTGTTTTTTTTTCATTATCTGTAAGTCATAACCATCAAACTAAAAGGAAATAAAGGCTTGAAATACCATACAACACTGTCTGTAGTCAGTTTATATATTGTGACTTTTCTTTATTGAACTACTGGAAACAAGTGCTTTTCAACATTACTGTATTCATTTATTTTTCAATGAATTGTTTTTGGAGTCTTTGTACGCCACCTGCTAGCCTGTCATATTTATTTATTTTTTTTTGTAGCCACAGAAAAATCTGTAATTCTGTTTTCTCCCTAAGAAGACCAGCAGTTTTTGTACAGTCAGATTTACAGCAAAAACGTTTGTGACAGCTTTCAGCTTAGATGTAAAGCTACATATGCGGCCTTAACCTTGAAAATGTGAAGTCCTCCTCATTGATCCTCAAAGGAAGCAGATAATACTCTCCCCTGTTTAACCATTGGTCAGGTTCTTGCAGCTGATTGATTGGCCTTTTGTTTTGCAGCCAGAAAAGAAATCACAAAGCCGGCTCTGGAAAAGACACAGAATCCCATCAATCTTTGAGCGAACATTGGTGCATATAACACTGCAGCAGCTGACATTCACACTGGAAAGCTTCTAATAGTTCCTCTGGACATGCACCTCACATTCATTCACCATACAACATACATGAGCGGAGGGAGCATCCACTGACAACATGCAATATACCTTTCTAGCATTCCAGTTTTGCCAATGATGGCTTTTAGTGTTTGTGGATCATTGATTTCGAGGAAGGATATCGAAATATTCCACATACTTAGGTGTTTAAATTTTCGGGAGGCAAATAATTGCGTGTTGCAGTGATGTCAGAGATCTTCTTCACAAGTTCAAAATTCAGACGTGCAGCATTTATATTCCAAGTTTGCATGTCTCCCCATGCACGTGTGGGCCTTATGCATCTTTGTTCTATTAATCTTTAAATTGTCCCATGGCTCTCTGGCTCAGTCACGCTGCAAGTCCACTTCGCACGACTTATTGTTTCAAGGCAACATGACCGATCTCATCACCTGTTCGTGCACATTGGCCTTTCGTAACAGTTTGCACTCAGTGTGAGCGGCGCTTGCCAAACAGAGCTGCAAGGTAGTCCATTTTTACAGGCTTTAAGCGTGGTTTAAGGGAATAATCGCTAAATGTTTGATGACAATAGGCCATACCTTTCGGTTAGAGTTGTATTCGGAATGTACTTCCTTTTCAAACTCTTCCTCTGCTACTATTCATCTTAGGGGGCTTTTATGAGCAGTTCAGAGTAACTTATCTAATGTTCAAAATAAGAACAGCTGCAGTTTGTTTCATCTTTTAGCTACAGCTACGCTCTGCAGGAAGAATAATCACTATTGTGGAAGAGATGAATGGGGGGTCCTTAAATAAACAAATATTCATACCCCTGCAAATTCATTCAATCAAGAAGTTTGTTTCTGATAGGAATTTAGACAAACATATCTTAAAAGAATACAAAAATGTTTAAAAAAGTTTACATTTGAAATAATCACTTTGTTTTTATCTACATTCTGTACAAATATCACATCTTAA